GAGGTCCCAATCCACTACCACCACCCCCACCAAAGAGTGTCCAATCCACTACCACCATCCCCACCACAGACCGTCCATACAAGCTCGGCCATATTATGATGTTGTATTGTTTGAGATTTTTTTTTTACTGAATTCCTTTTAAGAAAAGTAAATCTGCCCCAATTTCTGTATATTCCTCGCCACGTGCTGCCGCTGCCACTGACACACTGCCACACACACTGCCACGTTCTCACTGCCACACACACTGCCACACTGCCACACACACTGCCACACACACTGCCACTGACACACACACTGCCACTGACACGTTCTCACTGACACACACACTGCCACTGACACACACACTGCCACACACACTGCCACTGACACGTTCTCACTGACACACACACTGACACACTGCCACTGACACACACACTGACACACTGACACACACACTGCCACTGACACACTGACTGACACGCCGAGCCACGTCCTCGCACTGTACATAACAATGTGTATATAACATATTTAAGGTAAAGTGATTTCAGCCACCAATAAATAGCGGGTGATTTTCTGCTCTGCCTCTCATTTTGTGGCACACGTGGGGTGTTGGGGGACGGAGGTCAGTGACCCCTCTGCAAAGCTAAACATTGGGGGCCACTGACGTGAGATCTGCCGATGGTGCCTGGATGGTTCACCGAGGCCTGACTGAGATCCACGCTTCACCTTTCCACGGGAGACAACCACACCACCCGGGGGGATAGACGGAGGTATGGAGGCGGCCATGGCTGAGCTCCTTCCACATCCGCCACGTCCCTGGCTGCCTGTGGCTTCAGCACCTTCTGAGTTGTGGACCAAAACAAGAACGCAGCCACTGAGGTCCATCAATTCCCCAGGTCAGCCAGGGACGTGGCATTATCAGGAAAGCTCCGGCCACGTCAGGATGGTCTTCATTGACACACAGCTTTGGGACTCAGCCCAGTCCGTCCACAGTATAACTCGTGTCTGCTGAACGGTGACACCACAAGTCCCACGGAGTCACCGGTAAGGGTTCTGATCTATAGAGAGGAAAGGAAACATTGGTGACACGTGACAGGAGAGCAGCACCGGTGACCCTCTTCTGTGGCTTCAATACATGAACGTAACAGCCTGGAGCAAAGCAAGAAAGTCCGAACAGAGCCACTGGACCACGGAACCGGAATATTCAGGAGGAAGTCAGCATTGGCAGCCTCATAGGGGTGGAAGTCCGGTACGTTGTGCCGCCACAGCAAGAGATCCGTGGAATCCCAGAGCTTGTAAGGGGGGGCACTCCTCCCACTGACCACCAATGTAAGGGGGACACTCCTCCAACTGACCACCAATGTAAGGGGGGACACTCCTCCCACTGACCACCAAGGTAAGGGGGGACACTCCTCCCACTGACCACCAAGGTAAGGGGGGGACACTCCTCCCACTGACCACCAATGTACGGGGGGACATTCCTCCCACTGACCACCAATGTAAGGGGGGACACTCCTCCCACTGACCACCAATGTAAGGGGGGACACTCCTCCCACTGACCACCAAGGTAAGGGGGG